AATAATAATAATAATAATAATAGAAAAAGTACGTATAATAAGAATTTTTCAAATGCGATTAATCATTTTGTTATTAATTTTTATTATACGTTTTTTCTTTTCTTTTTTGAATCATTAATCTTTGTCTATATAATAAAACAATTACAAGGACAATATTCTGGAAACTTTCTTGCTCATTTATTTACATTTTCGTTTGAAAACTAATCTGTTACACGCGTAATAACGTAAAAGAAAAAAAAGCGAGAGAGAGAGAGAGAGAGAGAGAGAGAAAGAAAGAAAAATAAGAGAAAGAAGAAGATGAAGAATAAGAAGAATAAGAAAAAGATTCGTTAGGATTCCTCTTGACACACAGAGTTTATCGGTATTATCAATGAGAGATATCAACAAGTTTTCGAGATACGTAGAAATCATCTGTATCATACACTAGATGATAACGAATAATAAGAAGTATAAAATATTTATTTAACGAGAAACGAGTGATAATATTACCAACTAATGAAATTTTTCATATTCACATTTACAATCACACATTCACATTCACATTCACATTCACACATTCACAATCACACATTCACATTCACATTCACATTCACACATTCACAATCACACATTCACATTCACATTCACATTCACACATTCACATTCACATTCACACATTCACATTCACATATCCACATTCACACATTCACATTCACATTCACACATTCACACATTCACACATTCACATTCACATTCACACATTCACATTCACACATTCACATTCATACATTCACATTCACATTCACATTTTCACGTTCACATTACGTTCAATATTCACATGGCACTTCACATGCACATTCACGCATTCACACATTCACATTTACGTTCACGTTCCTACACTCACATACACGTTTACATATTCATGTTCACACATTCACATACACGTTCACATATTCACATTCACGTTCACATTCACATTTACATTCACGTTCATATTCATAGGCACATTCACATTCACATTTACAAATTCACATTTACGTTCACATTCAACATTTTCATTAACATACAAGAAAGAAAGAGTAAGAAAGATAGAGAAAGGGGGGGAAGGAGGTGAAGTAGGTGAAGAAGGGTGGAGTGGGGGTTGGGAGGTTTGAGAGAAACTTTATGGCATCTCGTAAATCTCCTTTACATAATGCAAATATCTTATCATGTGATGCTAAAGAACCACCAATTTAATGCGAATGTTGTTCCGCGTTCTCTTCTTATTCTTATTCTTATTCTGATTCTGATTCTTATTCTGATTCTGATTCTTGTTGTTCTTTTTCTTCTTCTTTTTATTCATTATAATCATCATCGTCATCTTTTTCTTCTTCATCTTCATCTTCGTAAACATCGGTTTATAAAGATAATGCAAATTGAGAAAAACATATTTGTGTTTATGTCTGTTATTAATATTCTACAGAATAAAAATAGAAAAGAAAAAAAGAAAGAAAGTAAGAAAGTAAGCAAATGGGGAATTGAAAGGGACGGGAAAGAAAGGGAAGGGAAAAATAAACATGTTAGATGAAAAATTGGCTAAACAACTTTGACGTATATTCTTCTTTAATCCTACGACACACGAGAGATTATCTTTTTAAAATAGATTGAGATGTTTACAGTTATATATTTACCATAAAAGAATCTTCTTTGTTTTGCATGGAATTTATTTGCATTTTTTTCATTTTTTCATTTCTATTTTTTTTTTATCTAATGAAACGCACGATATTAACGCATTAACTGCCAAATTATATTTGGTTTCAGAAATATTTATATTTTTTCAAAAGTCTTCAATTGTGATTAAGGCTGGTTGCACACACAAAAACTATAAAAGACTATTACTTATTTCTTTGATTATTATTTTATACATATAAAATAGCTATTATTATGGCATTTTTCCATACAGTCAACATAAAACCGAATGGTGTACGTAAAATTCCAAAATCCCCAAATGGGGATCGTGACAGCTAATGGGTTAATCACTTTTTATAAGCATGGATTATAGTCATGTTATTTGTATAATACTACGAATTAAATTTGGTTTGTTTTTGTTTTGATGTTTTTGTTTAATTAAATATTAAAATTAATTAACATTATGTTAATATATGAAATTATATTAAATCATATATATTACATTAATTAATATTAAAATTATTTGTTTTTATAAAAATAATTAATTTCCATGTACGATAGTTGGTTGAAAATTTTTGAACTCCGATCAAAAAATTAATTTTTTTTTTTTTAATATAAAAAATAAAAGTGTATTTCGATTAATGCGAATTAAAATTATTTTTTGTGTTATTAAACTAAATACTTCGTACTCACGTATTTGGATAATATAAAATTTATGATAATTTGAAAAATATTAAAATTATTTTATGAACATTGTAATAAAAGTAACAAAACATTATTTTTTCTTTTTGTTTTTTCGTTTTGTTTTTTTAAATGCAAAATCACGAATACGAAGTAAAATTTGATTGAACGATTTTGATGGCTATAATAAGATGTTTCAATTTGTTCATTTTCGATTATCGATGTTAAAATATTTATCAGATCCATCTGTCAATAAGATAAGAATCTATTTATCGGAGAGAAAAAAAAGAATTTATTATTTCGTACGTGAAATATAATCATTATAATCTATCATCGATTAATATTATTACAAATAGAAATTATCTACGACGATGACATTTAATCACCTACGGATTTATTATTTAATTAGATAAAAACAATCTATCATATGTTTTTCGTAAGAATTCGGTTTACTTTCTTTTCATTTTTTTATTCATCATCAAGAAAAAAAAAATAAAAATAAAAATTGAAACTTGATCTTGCGATTAATAGGAACAGATATAATTTGATTACTTGTAAATTCAAATAAAAATAATTTAATAATATTGTGAATCATTAAAAAAAAAAAAAAATAAAAATACATTTATCCATAAATCCATACACATAAATATATTAACAACGTATATGTGAACATATTATGCACATTTTACTGTAAAGTATATTTTGTTAAATTTCTTTTATTTTTATATATGAAAAATAAATCATAATTTTAAAAAAAGATATAAACTTATTTATATGTTTAATATTTTTATTTATATTTTATTTATAATTGCATTTAAATTAATCTCAATAAAATATCAATAAAATAGTCTAACCATGTATATATATATATATATATATATATATATATATATA